TAGGGCAGTGAGTAAGGGTGTGGCCAGGGGCAGGGCAGTTATGAGAATTCATAGGCGATTTAATAACAACAATTTTTGAAACTAAAATGTAATTTATAACAAGAAAAAAAAATATTATATACACAGACTGATTCCTAAACACATTTATTTTTAGTATAAAGGCACATTACTGTGAGTATTATGGCTGTAAGGCTTTGTTATACACTCCGGTACACCAGCAATATGGAACTCCTATAAAAGAGGAACCAAGGGGCTGGCTGCACTCACCTGAACATGCTTAAATGGGGTGCTGCTGGGGGCCAGTAAGTACAGTACAAATGAAAATCCTGTGCACTCCCTTATCTACTAAACAGCTACTTTGGTGCTGACAGATTTTGCTAGTTTTATTAAAAACACTGTTTATTAACAGCTAGGTATTATTATTATGATGATATTTATAGAGGGCCGTCAAATTCCACAGCGCTTTACAATGGGTGGACGAACAGACATGTAGTTGTAACCAGACAAGTTGGACACACAGGGACAGAGGGGTTGAGGGCCCTGCTCAATGAGCTTACATGCTAGAGGCAGTGGGGTAAAATGACACAAAAAGGTAAGGATTGTATTAGACTAGTGACAGTTGCAGAAGAGGAATCAGTCAGGAGCTATTAACAGTTTAATTGATACGCTTTTATGAAGAAGTGGGTTTTTAACGATTTTTTGAAGGAATGGAGACTTGGTGAGCATCTAATGGAGGAGGGAAGCGAGTTCCACAAGAACGGTGCATCCCTCGAGAAATCTTGAAGGCGAGCATCAGAGGTGGGAGTACGGACAGAAGATAGACGTAAGTCTTCAGCAGATCGTAAGGGCCTAGATGGGACATACTTGTGTATAAGGGAGGATAGATAGGTGGGAGCAGCATTATGTAGAGATTTGAAAGCAAGAACCAGAATTTTAGATTGAGCTCTATATTTTATAGGAAGCCATTATAAAACTTTGGAGATTTTCTTGGAAATATTTTGCTAGAAACCTTCAATGCGTTGCCCACGGATGACCCACTATCACATCCAAGGTTGAGAGCAATATTATTAGTAATATCAAAAACAGAGAAAGGCACCACCTTTTGTCGTAATTTTAGGCTGATATCATTGATAAATTAAGATCTAAAATGTTTTGCAAAGCTATTTGCTAATCATACCAAGCGCTATTTACCTGGACTGGTTCACTATGATCAATCAGGGTTTGTCCCCAGAAGGGAAGTTAAGGACAACACCACTAAAAATTATCAACGTTACACATGGAGCAAAGAAATCTTCTGACTTTGCTCCTATCCATTGACTATGAAAAAGCGTTTAATGTAGTGGACTGGTTCTATCTTTTTTCTGTATTAGAGTCATTAGGGCTTGGAATGAGATTTTGGAGGTGGGTCCAAGCTCTCTATAAAAGCCCTTCATCATGTGTGAGAGTCGGTTATCTCCATTATTTGCAATAGGCAACGGAATTCGGCAGGGCTGCTCCCTATCACCACTACTTTTCATCTTTTCTATAGAATAGTTCTTAAATGCAATCAGATTCCCTATTGCTGGTGGTGAGACGAAAATCTCTGCTTTCACAGGTGATGTTCGACTAACCATTACAGATCCAATTAGATCACTAACCCAGGTAACTAAGGAAATATAAATATTTAGCTCCTTACCTAATTTTTAAATGAATGTGGACAAATTAGAAATATTGGGCATTGCCTTAACGTCAGACCTTAAATTTAATTTACAACATGGTTTTAGATATGATGGAAAGGAAGGAAAGTAAAAATATTTGATTGTCCAACTGACTGTGGATGTGTCTAGTCTATACAAATCTAATTATCACCCTGCATTAGAAGAAATAAAGGCTAGTCTTAAAAAGTGGAATTTACCATACTTTTCCCTTTTTGGCAGGATCAATATCTTGATGATTATGATATTACCAAAAGCTATTATATTTGTTTTAGACCCTCCCTATATTAATTACATGCTTTTTTTTTGCTACACTTTTTTTTTGCTACAAAGGATCAGTGGATATCCAAGGCTGAGATAACTCAGAAAATGGAAGATGTCCACTGGGCTGCTAGAGGGAGGAAACAGAGTTATCTTAAATGATGGCTCCCTTGGATCATATACTGGGCAATTAGATTAAACCATAGCTGGAGGGTTTAGACAATAATAATAATAATATTATTATTTTTCTCTATTTTTTTTTCTGCTGGATTACATAAATTTGCACATATATTATTGCTCTTTTATATTATTTTTTGAGAGTATAATTTTGATAAGGAAACCTTCCCCAGGTAACATATTATAGAACTATAGAAGAACGATACATGCTTTTGTTAAGATTAAGTTGTAGACTTTTCAAAAATCACTCTGCTACAAATCCACCTCTTACTTTAAGGTGCTTGTCTGGACATATACATTAAGAAATTCTTTACAAATTTTTAGTTATAATGGAGACACATAGGTGCTAGTATGTATAGAGAAATATGTATGTATATGCTCTGGAATTGGTGTGAGGAGGGAGCTCTGTTTACCCCCTTTGTGCATAACACCTAGACGTGCCTGGTGGTGTTTGGATATGAGACACAGGCAGAATTTACCACCAATTTTGGTGTCCTATAAAATCTAGTTGATATTAGAGAGCCTATTTCATCCTTTATTTAGAGAGAACAAACATTATTGGCACTAGTGTGTGAGAAGTTCCACATTTCAGTTGTATTCAAATAAAAAACTAACCTTGTATTGTTTTGATAATCACAGCAGCACATACGTCATTGGCTGTATGACATTTAATGAAATAACTCGTACAATTGAATGATTCATTACTAGCTTCACTGCATGTCATACATGAAAGTTCTAGGATAAAAACATTAAAATGAAGTTATTACACGTCATAGCTTAGAATAATAGGATATAACAGAGCTATTAGGCTATACATTTAGCGAGCCTTTAATTTTTAGAAAAAAATAACAAGTGGATCTACGGCACAAAATTAATTATTTACACATTGCTGTTTAGGTGACATTACCATGAACAATTTCCCAAAATTAAGCCCTGCTCTTAAACTCCCACTATGCTTGGGCAGCAGCAATGACCATAGTATTCAACAGCCCAAATACATAAAACAAAACATATGTGCACTATCACTTATTTTTAAGTCAAGATACATAGAACAAAACCAAATACACGCATATAAACATACACAGACATATTACAGTGTTGCTGCCACGCCATGCGTCCTCTGTTAAGGGGTTTAGAAAAATACCCATTTTTGTTATTAGAAAGATTCCATTCCTCACAGGTGTTAAGAGCGAGTATCATTTCTGTAGACATACCATTTCTTGTGTTTCACACTATTTAAAGTGACCTTAGAACCGTCAAATAACGTGCCTACAGGGCACTTTGAAATTTTTTTATTGTTTTGGGTGCTATTGCTAAATAGTACATTTGCGTCCTGCGTTGCACTTCATACCTGAAAGTCAAATAGAACCGTCAAACACTGTGCTTACAGCGCAATTTTTAAAAATTCAAATTGTTTTGGGTGCTAGATAGTACATTTGCATCCTGCAGTGCACTTCCTATCTGAGAGTCAAATATAACCGTCAGATACTGTGCTTTGAAAAATTCTAATTGTTTTGGGTGCTAATGCTAAATAGTACATTTGCGTCCTGCAGTGCACTTCATATCGGAGAGTCAAATAGAACCATCAAATACTGTGCTTACAGCGCACTTTGACCCATTCAAATTTTTGGCGTGATAAAAAGTAAATTTGGGGTGTGCACTTCATATCTGAGCGTCAAATAGAACCGTCAAATACTGTGCTTACAGTGCACTTTGAAAAATTCTAATTGTTTTGAGTGCTAAATAGTACATTTGCATCCTGCACTTCATATCTGACAGTCAAATACCATATTGTAATTCTGGGGCAATACCCTCACAAGTCAAACTGAGAGGTCAGTTTATAGGGAAAACTGTTGCCTGGATACAATTCTAAAACAATTCCCACATGTCATTTTTGCAGAGTTTACATGCTGGAAAATCACAGGTGCTTACTGCTGTGGCTTTCTGTAGTGTGCAGACTGCCAAGGAGGGCAGGGTTGAGAAGTGGGTGGAAGATGATGTGAAGGATGATGAGGTCCTAGACCATACATGGAATCAAGGTCATGCGAGTGATGTGTGCAGTTTGGAGGAAGAGGCGCTGGTTGCACAGAGGCAACAGCACAGCATAAGAGGGAGCAGGGTGCAAAAGCACAGCAGCCGTCCCATTAGCTCGAGAATTACCACAGTTATCCAAGTAACAGATGGAGCGATCAAAGGATCCATAATAGAGTTGATCGAACCCCAACTGCAAAGTCGGGGTTCGTACCAGATTTAACGAGCCCTTCGAAGTTTCACATTGAGGGCAGCAGTCCGGTGACTGGGACCCAGACACTGTATGGGCGGTGGTCGAATGACCGGGACCCAGTATGCCTGATGTTGAAGTTAGGAGTCACAGTGTGGAATGGATTAGCAAGGTCTGGTGCAGGGTAACCGCACGCCCCCTGGTGTTGAGCACCAGCGTTTGTGCAGCCACATACCAGAACCCTGATGCAGCTTCAGTAAAACGAGTACTGGATACCAGAAGCCATCACCAGACTGATCCACAACTTGGAACAGGATGTGACATTCACTGTAGCGGCTGTGCGCGCTTTCAGCGTTCTCACCCTGCTGCTGCTCGCCTGTCTGCGCTACAGCATAACTTTTACCTTCCCGCTCACCACCTCATATGCAACGTGCCCACAAGGTGGAACTCCACCTGGCACATGCTGGAGAGACTGTGCTAGCAGCAGCAGGCAATAGTGGAGTTTCAGCTGCAGCACGCACGGGTCAGTTGTTCTGCACCAGACTTGCCCTCCAATTGATCCTAGTTAAAGGATTTCAAGTCGACTCATTACAATTACAAGTATTGTTATTTGTCGTCACTATTTCCCCGCGTTGGGAGTGGGTAATTTCCTTCCTTGCATGTGGTAGCCTTTTCTCAGGCTCCCTCTCTGGAATCAAACCCTGATTCCCCATTACCCGTGGTCACCATTATAGGCGCAAAAAGTCCATCGAAAGTTGATAGGGCAGACATCCGAATGCGTTGTCGCCGTCATGGGGACGTGCGATTGGTCCGAGGTTCTCTAGAGTGGCCAAAGTGCCTGCACAACTATAATGTTGACAGCTACTTTACCTAATGGTAGGGGATGGAGGGGGGCCCTGTGTCAGTCCCTTCTCTTCCCCACTCTCTAGCAGACATCTGGCAGTACTGCCTCAGATCCTCAGAGCTGCCTGGTCAAAAGAAGCTGTGGGTGAACCAAGAGGCTGTCCAGCTCCTGCCCAAATGCCCTGCAAATGGGATATTGTGAGCTAGCTTCAGCAGCTCATACCAGTACTTCTTGGTTCTTGGGCTGGCGGTCTCTCACCAGCCGTGTCATTGAGGAGCCCATTGAAAAAGTGCTCTAGCATGACGAGCTGGGTGATCTCCTCCGGGAACTTGGCTTGATGGGAGTTGAGCCAGTTCTGGGTGACCCTTGTGATGAGGCATGCCCACTCCACATGGAAGTCCTTCTCCCCTTTCCGAGTCTCCCTTAACTTTCAGCGGTATTGCTCGGGGGTGACCACAACCCGGGCCAGGAGGATCTGTGTAATAAAGGGATAGTCTCTGATCTGCTCTTCTGGTACAGCCCAGTAAATATCCGCTGCCTTCCTCACTAGTTTACTGGCCAGGATGGTGACCCAGTCGCTGGGGTCCACGTCTTGGAGTAGGCACTGGTGCTCAAAGTCTTGTAAAAAGTCATCGATGCCTTCTTCTGCTTCTTGAACTCTTTGAAGGCATTTTATGGTAGCTTGTGGGCCAGGGTGGTTGTGCTTCCCAGCGCCCTCTGCTCCCTTATTCCTTCATTTGGGTTCATGGAGGTCACCCTGTGTCTATTGGCAAGGACATAGGCTTGCACCTCCAAAAAGGTCCTGCTGACGATCCCCTCTGAGGGTGGCTCTCGGTAATATGCCAGGCGCCGTTCCACCTCCATGCACACTTCCTCCTCATCTCTGGCCCCTGGCTGGGGTTCGTTGCCTCACTGCGGGCCTGGTCGTCCTCCATGTGCGCAGCAGTCAATTCAGCCTTGTTATGCCCACCAGGCATTATTCCTCTGGCTCCACACAAGTCCTGCAGTGTAGGTCGCTTTAGAGCACTGTAGTCCATGGGTCTTTTGGCAGGTACATGGGATCCCGCCGCTTGCCACCAATTGAAGCGGGACCTGGGTAACCGATGGTTATCCTCTTTGATTAGAATAGGTCAGACCCATTTGCCCAGTAACCGGATGGGACACAGTTCCAGGATACAACGTTTGACAATCTTTATTTGGGTACACAGCTTTGCCTCCTGTTGCCTCCTCTTCCACCACCTCCTCATCCGGTCAGCGTAACACCTTCACCACCAACTTCAGCACAGCCAGGGGGAAACGACAGCTGGCTGTTTTAAAACTCATATGTTCGGGGGGAAAAAACCCACACCACGCAGGAACTGTGGATGGGCATGGAACAACAGACCGATGAGTGGTTGTTGCAACTGAGCCTCAATCCTGGCCTGGTGGTGTGCGATAATGGGCGAAATCTCGTAGCAGCTCTGGGCTTAGCCGGTTTGACGCACATCCCATGCCTGGCGCATGTGCTGAATTTGGTGGTGCAGAAATTCCTGAAAAACTACCCATATATATCAGAGCTGAAAGTGTGTGTCGTCTGTGTGTGCCTTTGGCGTTCTCACCCCGCTGCTGCTCGCCTGTCTGTGCTGCAGCGTAACTTTGGCCTTCCCGCTCATCGCCGCATATAGGACGTGCCCACAAGGTGGAACTCCACCTTGCACATGCTGGAGAGACTGTGCAAGTAGCAGCAGGCGATAGTGGAGTTTCAGCTGCAGCACGCATGGATCTGTCGCTCTTTGGAACCGCACCACTTCACCACCAATGAGTGGGCCTCCATGCGAGACCTGTGTGCCATGTTGCGCTATTTCGAGTACTCCACCAACATGGCCAGTGCTGATGACGCTGTTCTCATCCTTACTATCCCGCTTCAATGTCTCCTTGAAAAAAACGCTTCGGGCGATGATGGAAGAGGATGTGGTACAGGAGGAAGAGGAGGAGGAAGAGTGTCATTTCCACGGTTATCAGGCCAGTCATTCACAAGTGGTTCGGAGGGTGGGTTCCTGCACCAGCATAAGCCAGGCACACAATTGTCCAGCATCTCCATACTGTCCCATGGAAGCGTTCAGCTGTCCATCTCCCAAACACTGGAGAGAAAAAGGAAGTACCCCCCCTAGCCACCCGCGATCCCTGGCCCTGAATGCCAGAATTTAAAAGTTTGTGGCCTTTGAAATGCTGTCATTCTGTCTGGTGGAGACTGACAGTTTTAAAAACCTGATGGCGTTATTGGACTGCAATAAATGCACCACAGGCCGCAACTGTTTCTTTTTTTATAAGTCCAAATATTTGGGAGGCTACCCCAGTTAAAAATAAAAACAAAAACAAACAGTGTTGGCTACCTCCTCCTCCACCGCCGCTTCCACCTACACCGCCACGGTCACTGCCTCCTCAACCTATGGGTCACTTAGTATAAACTATATACACAATAGCAGAGGCTTGTGAAGGCCTTTTCTCCATGCATCAGGAGTTGAGCATTTCTCCATGCATCAGGACTTCTAGAAATGCACTGCATGCCGCAAATGTTTCTTTTTTTTATATGTCCCAATATTTTGGGGGCTACCCCAATTAAAAATTTTTTTTATAAATAAATAAAAAACAAAACAAATAAAAATAAATAAAAAAACAGTGTTGGCTACCTCCTCCTCCACCGCCGCTTCCACCTACACCGCCACAGTCACTGCCTCCTCAACCTATGGGTCACTTAGTATAAACTATGTACACAAAAGCAGAGGCTTGTGAAGGCCTTTTCTCCATGCACCAGGAGTTGAGCTCAGTTTGAACAATGAAAGGATTCCCTGTACTCCAAAACATCTCACAAATGGATAATTATAGTGATCCTCCATGCTTTAGATTTTGAGTTATGTTCTTCCAAAGCTAAAATCAAAGATTCCATCTAGTGCTATTTTATGGCTCAGCTATATTTTAAATTTTTAGGTATTTTATGTTATTTTAAGAGATTTCCCTATCCACATTTGTTTGCAGGGCAGTTGTCCTACTCTTACCCCCATTTTACTTCCTTTTGCAGCCCTCTAGCCCTTTCCAGGACTTTAGAGGCATTTTTGTGCCCAAAAGTTCGGGTCCCCATTGACTTCAATGGGGTTCAGGTTTGAGTTCAAATTCGGGGTCAAGTTTTATATCAAACCCAAACTTTTTTTTCGAAGTTCCGCCGAACCCAAACGTCCAGGTGTCCGCTCAACTCTATGAGCAGGTAACTTTTCTATTTTTTTATTTTCACATGCCCAAAGAATCCAATGCCAGGCAGCTTAAAGGATCACTATAGGCACCCAGACCACTTTAGCTTAATGAAGTGGTCTGGGTGCCAGGTCCATCTAGGATTAACCCTTTTTTTTTTTAATCAACATAGCAGTTTCAGAGAAACTGCTATGTTTATAATATGGTTAATCCAGCCTCTAGTGGCTGTCTCTTGACAGCCGCTAGAGGCGCTTGCGTGCATGCGCATTCAGCCAATGACGTCGCTATGGAGGAGGAGAGGAGGAGGAGAGCTCCCCGCCCAGCGCTGGAGAAAGAGGTAAGCTTAACCCCTTCCTCTCCCCAGAGCCCGGCGGGAGGGGGTCCCTGAGGGTGGGGGCACCATCAGGGCACTATAGTGCCAGGAAAACGAGTATGTTTTCCTGGTACTATAGTGGTCCTTTAACACATTTAATGCCGGAAAGTGAACTTACTCACTTACTCAAAGGAAAGTGTCCTATTTATGAGTAAATGTCCGACAGGGCACGGAATGTGTCTAGCTGCTTGGAATTCTGTCCACTGACATGTATTACCCAGGGTTTGTTCCTGCATTCTAGTTTTACTGGACTCAAATAAAATGCTAAATAGTCTCAGTTCTTTCAAACCTTTCAAACCGTTTGAAACCTACAGGGAGAGGATGCTCAATGACTCTTTGTCCCATAACCACTCTAATGAGGCTTATCTTCATAATAAAACAAAAATAACATTTATAAAAGACTTTCAGATTTATTCACTAAACAATGCCATTTGGAAGAATTCAGCATGAAATTATACAGTTTAGGCAAAGATAGATGAATTGGAAAAACTCTCTATGTTGGTGGGGGTCTGCCTTGACGTTGACAGGCAGGCATTCCTTCCAATGGCCATTGGAGTAACTAAGTGAAACCCATTTGTTTAAATATACATAGGGATTCAGGAGAGAGCGCAGGTAACTTTTTCTTTGTTTTTTACAGCTATGTTTTTAGCCCAGCTATTTTGGCAGACAATTTTGACTTCCCTGATGATTTCTATGCAGTTAACCGCTTAGTGAATAACCTGTTGGAATACGCAGCACTTCAATAGCAAAATAAAATAATAGATTTTGCACAATGGCTAGGAATTGAATTCTAAATTATTGCACATTTACTGGCGGCTTACAATATTGTTTCTTACATTCTCGATAATTCTTTTTACATAACATGTACTTTCTAAGTATACTATTCAATACTGCATAAACTAAGAGAAACAAAGGATGCCCATTCTACAGTATTTGTGAAATTGGCTATCGTTGCATGAAATGTTCTTTAGGGTCTGTAAACCTTGAAATGATTAGAGAGGCAAAATAGTTTGGCTTTGTGGGGTATATGGGTCATCGGTCCCCTTTATGAGAATGTCCTGGTTGGATTATTTCCTGCTGACCCTCATGGTCCTCCTTTCTCACCTCTGTGTTTACGCAGCTGTCACTTCTATGACTTAGTTATCCTGCTAGTTTCTGAACATCTTGGAACTCAGAATGAACCTTGGAGTAGGTTTTCTATTTATCCAATGTTCTTCAGGAATCAAATTCCAGGAGATGTGGATTTGCCGGTTGGAGTCTGAAAACCAGGAACTAATATTTACAAATTTATGAATGTGGCCCTATTACAGGGAGTGCAGAATTATTAGGCAAATTAGTATTTTGACCACATCATCCTCTTTATGCATGTTGTCTTACTCCAAGCTGTATAGGCTCGAAAGCCTACTACCAATTAAGCATATTAGGTGATGTGCATCTCTGTAATGAGAAGGGGTGTGGTCTAATGACATCAACACCCTATATCAGGTGTGCATAATTATTAGGCAACTTCCTTTCCTTTGGCAAAATGGGTCAAAAGA